AAGACCATGCCAGTTAGAATTAACAGTTCCTTAGGAAGAAAATGTGGACAAAGCCCATGAAAGGAAACTTGGGAAATATTTACACATTGCAGAAGAATGCAAAAGGTGTGGTTGACAAGCTCAGTGTGAACTGATTGAAATTGGATACAGAGGCTTTGCTGGGCAGTCACTATGTAAAATGTGTAAATTAGGTGTAACAGCTTTGGAAAAGAACAAGACCATTCATTTAATAACAATGGCTGCAAAAGAAGCCTCTAGATCAGAGGTCAACCACATGTGGCACAACAAGCAATGGCAACAACCAATGGCATGCACCCACAAATGATATCACAAAGTTCAAAACAATAACTACTACAACACAAAGAAGATATTTAGTCGTTTCAATTTTAATATATACTAAAGTATATATGCTATATATTACTATATAAAATATATTGTAGAACAGGTATATTGACCTTGACTTGTATAAAAATATGTATGCTGTTGGCACACTAAATAATTTTAAAACCCTAAGTTGCACATAGTTAGCAAAAGGTTTCCGACTACTGCTGTAGATGGTTATGGTTTAAAAGATCAAGTGATTGGCAGTCAGTAAGAAAATGAAAGAAGATGCGGTTGATATTATTATTTTTCTTTTCTTCTCACGGGAACTGGAAGGTAGGTTTTGGTTATGACCTAAAACTCCAAGAATATTGTTTAAATTGTGATTATAGTTTAGGATGGACATATGTGCTATGCTGTAAATCTTCAAAAACATGAGATAATGGATTTAACAGTTTTCTTTTGATTTTTTAGCATTTTTGTAGTTGTGTATGCTGGCTTGGGAAAGTAGTAATTCTTATAAGAAAGGCAAGATTGGAAAGAAACTGAGGCGCAAGTCTTTCCAATCTCTAAACTGTAACACTCTAAGGGACTACCACAATTTGATTGTTAAACTCTCAGAGAATGCTGTCAAGCCCTTTTTAGAGTTAACCACTATTTCATTTTTACACTCTCAGTGAACAGCCCTTTCCAAGGTTTTTCTCCATAAACTGCCACTTCTTAAGACAATGAGAAATGCCAGGTATATCTGATTATGATTTTAAAATATTTTTTGGCATATTAAAAAAATATTTTTAAGTTAATCTGATTTAAAATATATTTTAAATGTATAAGATTTAAAAATACAAGTTGTTTATATGGTAAGTATTTTTTATTTCAACTTTCTTCAAATGTTTCATAACCTGAACTGTTAGTGACCCAACAAGTCATGGGTAGTCTAGTTATCTTTATAAGTTATACTTGATACAGTCACAAGTTTGTTCTATTAAGACAGAAGATGATGCCTTGACATTTCAGTAATGTAATGAAATTGAATAAAAAAATTCATCCATATTTATAAAAATTGACATGCTTATACATGAAATAAATTCAAAAATCTTTTGGCAATATTGGGGATCATTGAATTGTAGTTCATACATATAAAATTCACAAGAATTGTCATTTTTTTTTTAAATTTTAATTATAATTTATAAAGTTTTAAATCTTTTAAAATTCTGTATTAATTTGTAGTGGCTAGATGATATTACTATTAAGTAAAATCTACATTTACTAATCATAAATGGAAAAGCTTACAACAATTCAGTGACCCCCCTCCCCCCCAGCGGTATTTTTTACAAAGAATTTAATTCTTTTTTGTGTGTATAAACGTGATAATTTTTGTAAATATGGATGTCCATACACAACATTATAAAAAAAAAAAAGAGTGCTAACTATAGTAAATTTAAAATTTATAGGCAATTTTCTAACATTTCCACAAAAACGTCTGTGTAAGTCTATAAGCCAAAGTATTAAAATTCAATAAAATATTAGATTAGAATATTTTCATGAATTTTAAAGATTATGAGGTAGTTAAAAATTATATAAAAGGCATTCATATTATATTCATCAAATAATTCTTACAATTGTTCCACATTGTATCACATTTCTTTCTTTTCTTTGTATCACCTACTTTCCTGTATTTCAAAATTAATTTAAATTGATTTGGGATGAGGTTTTTTAAATTCCTAAAAATGGCAATTTTTGTTCATATTTCAAAACAACGTAATTCTCTTTATTAAAAAAATCTTTCAAAAATAAAATATGTTTTTCTGAAACTTTATTTGAAAAATATTAGCTGATTTAAAGTCTAATCTGATTTGAAACAAATATTAGTTACTCTTAGTTTAAAATATCACAGATTTCATTAAAGGCATATCAACTCCTAATGGGTCATTTGATACCAAAATTTAATTTTCTTAGGCACTTCGAAGTAATAAAAATGTTATTCTGCTTTCACAATTGAATACATTGATACTCAGTTTTTCTGCATATCCATGTTTGTGTGCCCATAATTACTAGAGGTGGTGATGTGTGTGTTTTATGTTGTAGCTTTGTTGAATTTATATTTTGGAATACAGTTTGATTTCTTTAAGAAATTGTAGGATATTATATGGATTAAATGTCATAAAAGAGTTCTTTCATGTTGGTTGTTTGGTAGTATTTTAAACGGATTTGGGTAAAGTCGCTACAATTTGTTAGTATGTGATTTATTGTGTATAGTTCTTGGTATGCCATACAGATTGGAGGTGATTCTTGTTTAGAATATAAGAGTGTGTTATAATGGAGTGTCCAATATGAAGTCTGATCACTTCATCTTTTCTTGTTTTTAGTTTTTGATGCCATTTTTCTATAGTTTGATTTTGTATAATTTTTTGTTTGGGCAGCCAAATTTCAGTTTGTATTCACTATATCATTGATGATTATTAATGTGCCTCCTGGTGCTCTGTCATTATGTTTATTTATATAGTTGTATATTGCGCAGTATTTAATGTTAAATGTATCTGTTTCTTTCAGAGGGGTTTCCTGTAGGCATATGTTTGCTGGGCAATAGGTTGTAGCCAATAGTAAATTAATTTTAGCACCTCTTATATTCCACTGCATTATTATGTTTGTCATTGTTTTTGGTTGTTTAGGGATTTAGGTTTGTGGTTATAAGTGGGTTGTTAATTTGTGTATTTTGCCTTTTTTTAGCTTTGTTTTTGTTGTTGACAGTGCAAAGACTTTCCTCTATATCTATTTTGTTTAATGAATCAAATTGATTTTTTGTTTCAATTTGATCTGTATCTTTTTAGTCTTTGTGTTGTGTTTTTATTGCTGTTTGTTTTGGTTCTTTAAGGGACCTCTCTCTTGAAATTCTGGATGATGTGTATTCTGTTGAGTGGGATGGGTGTGGCGGATTGGAGATCTTTGTGATCTCTTTCAGTAGCATTTATGGGGATTTTTTGGAATCTTTAGAAGGGGTTCTGACAAGTAATTGTTCTTTTACATTAGTTTCACTTTTATTGTTCAAATTAGGTTTAATTTCACATATAAATTTGAGTCAATCATTTAGACCAAGTTGCATCATTTTTTTTTTTTTTATCAGAGTTTCATATTTATCATTATTAGTATTAGTTTTTTTTGTGATCTGTGAGTGGGTTACGTTTTTTGTATATAACCTATGGCTATCCATGTTTGCTGATAGATGATGTTTCTAGTGTGCTTTATAGTCATAATCTTTTTCCTTGCTCCATATCTCACATGATCTGGCATATGCTGGGCTACTCAGTCAGTATACTTACACTGGGGGAAGGGCCTAGTTTTGGTATCCAAGATTACTACTAACCCTGGGACATTAAGTTATCATCGTTCCTTCTTCAGCATGATTGACAGCCACAGTCTTCTGATTTGGGAGAACAAATAACGACTTGATATCAGATTGATCAGATTTGCAACTCCAACCACCTGTTTAACCCAGGTTAGGGCTAAATTGGTGAGGGGAATCAGAAGTATCTACAACAGATTCCTGAAGCCCTCAACCACCAGGATCCTGTCCCCTGACATTACGGATTGCCACCCACAATTTAATCTATTAATTTGAAATTAAAACTAAAATAAAAGCTTCAAGAAAGATTTTTCATTCTAAAAAATTTCATTTTTAACTTTAGGTATTGCGAATTTGTGGAGGTAGCTAATAGGTACCTTCAAAAATTCAATAATATGAAAAAATGCCCCAAACTTAATAAAAACAAAATTTTATCGCCAAAGTCAGTATCGCTTTTCTATAGAGAGGTATCTTAGAAAGCTAAAAAAAGTATTTCTCGAAATTTCATAAAATTAAATAAGATGGGGGTCGTTTAACAGAAAATCTTTTTTTTTTTTTTTATATATGAATTTTCTTAAAAAGAAACATTTAAAAAAATAATTTTATTCATTTGTGAATAAGTCCTGAAAGTTTCATTGAAATCAGCCAATTATCAGATTTTTGCAAGAATTTTCAAATCACTGTGTTTTGCACCGCAAAAAGAATCTATAAAATTTCCCATATGGTCAAACCCTGTGACGTTTTAATTTTTAAAATAAAATTTCGAAAGTTCTAAAAATGATAAAAAAAACAATTTAATAATCAAAAAATCCTTTGGTCTTTCCTAAAAGTAAAATAATGTGGAATTTCCAATTATACACAAACTAAAACCGATTTTGAAAACTAGATCTAGAGTTTTGTGTACTTTACTGAGAACTTCAAAGCACAAATTAATTTTCATAAACTTAGGCAAAATTCTGAGATATTGAATATTTGGGGCTGTTAATGAGTCACTTTCGGTTCGTTAATTATTTGATAATTTTAGTCACACACTTCACAAGCACGAAATATGAAAACTTTTCATATTTTGTTCTTTCTCTGAATATTTCCATTACCTCATTAAGAACACAATTTAATTTTATGAATTGGAGTGTCAAAGTTTCGTTCGAAATAACCAATCATTACAATACTTCACTATTTACCACATATAACTTAGCTGATTTTTCTGCAATATTTAAAATTGCGTGTGTGCATGCATATATATATATATATATATATATATATATATTAATATTTACACTAATGTACATAAATTATATAATTTAAGAAATGCTTGAATATTTTATAAGCATCTTACCTGATTTACTACATCTTGAAGTTGCGTTAATCTGTCAGCCATGTTTACGGTCCGCACTTCCGGTTACAAAAATATAAAATGAGTTTCATTGTTTCGTAATAACATTGTTTTAAAGATGAATGAATGAATAAAAATAAAACATTTTATCATTAATAAAAGTAGATAAATTTAGTTTCATTAATAAAATGCATTTTTTATGAATTACACGATATTTTAATTAATTATAAAGAGAATTATTTCCCCTAGCTTCTTTTATTTTAATTTTTTTTATTATTCATTTGAAATAAACTCTTTTTTTTTTTAATCAACATAAATAAATTATAATTATTATGGAAATATCTTATAAATAGTGAGTAATAAATGAGTGGCATTTATTTTTCTATATTGAACGTTCTAACAATAAAAAAAATTCAAATTTAAATAATTCGCAAGGAAGGTCAAAACATGCCTAAAAAAATTAAATCAAGTTCAATTTGTAGCGGGTAATGTTACTTGTATGGATGTTTATTTGAGAGATAAGTTTTTAAAGATATTTGTTACTTTGGCCTAAATTTATTTTGACTTTAATGAGGTAGGATGAGTTAACACGGCCTTTAAGATTGAAAAGTAAAAAAAGAAAATGCTGTATTTTTCAAGAGTTTTTTTTAGTGATGATTTTAGAGACTAGAGAGTGAAAATTCAAAAAACTAATGTTTTAAAAAATGTAATCAATCGAGCAGGTTTTATTAATGATAATCAGAGTTTTTTTTATTTAATTTATTTTAAACCCTTCCATTTTGTAAGAAATTGAATTCAAATACTCGTCTATATATCTTTTTATAACATTTATTTATGCTTATTTTTCACCAGATATTGGTCAGTCACTCATAATATCAATGGAAAGCCCAAACACAAACGACGTGGTTGGATTCATCGAGCAAAAGGTCGATATTTATTATAATTTATCCCGTTATTTATTTAATTTTCAAATTTTTGTATATTGTAATTACTGTTAAAGTACAGTGGGTACTAACTAATTTTTACTTGAATTTTTTTTTTTTTATATTTATTTTAAAATGGGAAAATTTTAATAGATATTTAGCGCGGGTTTTAAAAAGCAAATTTACCATTTTTGTTTCGATTACTAAAATTTTACGAATTGCTAAATTATTTCTTTATGAAATTTTACTTCCGAACTTTAAATTATAATTTTTAAAAATTGGTCTTCTTACAATACCGGTTTAGGCAAGACTTCTTATTTGAAGGGTTTATCCCGGTGATAAACTAACAATATTCGTTGTTTTTTTTTTGTATATATCGGCCTTAAGTTGTTTTACTTTTTGGGTCATTTAAAATAATTTAAATCTATAGTAAAAATTGAAAACTTAAACTAAACATTTTAAGACCATAAAAATGAATCTCCCTTAAGCAAAATAAAAAAAAATATTTTTACTTGCTTCAGCATTTTATTTTTATTGAAGACAAAAAAAAAATGATACTCTGATCATCAATAATCAAAGGGAAATTTTACAAAATAAAAAATAACTCATAAAATTATCCAAAAGTTAGCATTGATTCTAAAAGTTTTGTCAGATTTAGCAATGCCAAGATCCTCTTTCTTTATTCCTATCATTGTATCATTTTCCATTCTGTTGTATAAGTGCACACCTTATGAGCCTTAACTCATCATTGAGTTAAATGGTATCGAAATGTGCTACAGAAAATGAGAGAATTACTATTCATTGAAATAGAGTTTTACTCTGTATCTAACAGTATCCTCCCGACAATATTAGAGTTGGTGACATTTTTTTCCAGTTTTTAAGAATGTCTGCTTTATTTTATTAATTAACATATTTAAACTTCAACTTGCATATGGATTGGAACTATTTTTTAAAATTTCATGTCTTTGTATTTTTTATTTCTTTTTTTTTTCAGAAGATTTAGAGTAAATCGTTTTTGTTATCAATCATCAGTGATTCTTAGTCAAGCAAAATTTCAAAAAGCATTTCCCCATCATTCCACTCAGTCTTGAACATTTTGTTGAAATGTAAGTATTAATAAAATAATTTGGTAAAGTAACATTCAGTCCCTCCTGTATATACTAATTGAATCTATGGAAATTACATGGGTGTTGACAACTAAGATAACATTACTCTCACTTATATATTTCTTCAGTTCTTGACAAATAGGGTTCTTATATGCATATTAAATATAAATTTACACATAAGATTAATAAACAAAATGAATTTATATAAATGCTATACTTGGAAAAAAAAGTGGGAAATATTAAGAGTAGAAAGATATGGCATAAAATGTGATGAGGCACATCAATTGTGTTGATTGACCAATACTTTTCAAGTCTACTCCTGTTTGCAGAGCAATGGTTGTATATACAAACAGAATAATAGTATATGAAAACAATAAATTTTAAAAATTATAGTTATAGATAACAAACCATTTACTCACATTAATGAAACAATATTATAAAAAATAATAGGTTTAAAATAATCTTTGTTAATATTAAATGCCTTTACCAAATCAGCATGGGAGTTATACTTAGAACATTTCACCTGTAGTATCTTTTGACCTTCTTCATACTTTGAATTTAAAACCCTTTATTTATTGAGATAAATTGTTCTCATTCTGCTTTCCATGCTTAGAGGATATCACATATCATTTAATACTCTCTATTATTTTACTTTTGTGTTGCTTATTTATTCCTTCCACTCAAGACGGGGATTGAACTCAAGATTGCCAGGAAACCATATATGCTCTAATCATCCACCAGTTCATGTATCAGCAGTGTCATTTTGGAGTCTGTACCCGGGTGTGGTATTTTGCTTCTTTCCTTCCTTCCTTCCTTCCTCCCTCCCTCCCTCAGAAACTGCCAGATAGTAATCATCTCTATGCTAGATCTACTGAGGAGGTCATCAGAACCTAACATGCTTATTTTTTATTCATCTTATCATCTGTTGTTTATATTATTCTTTTATTATATTGAATTAATTCCATAGAAGTTGATAACCATCCTTCACCCTCTATCCAAGCATTGATTAAAACATATCTGTTTCTCCGGCAGTCATGAGTTCAATCCCTGAGTCAAGCAGTGTACCATCCTAGGTATGACAATAAACTACATGTGGCAGCAAGACTTCTGATTGGGAGGTTTTGAGGAGTGTGGAACCACCACTTAATTGCTGTTATTCCCAGGTCCACCCTGACCTGGAATGGTAGCACCTGATAGGTTCCTAGCTGTGGGCAAATAGTTAACCCCCTAAACTGAGGTTAAAACACTATGAAAGTATAAAAATAGATTTTTATAGTAAAAAATACCAGCAATACATTTTTGAAAAAAAAAATACTATTTGACTCTCGACAAAAATGTCAATGAAATCTGATCTACAAACTGATTTCTTACAAAGAATACATATTCTATTCATACAAACATATCCTAAAAATCTTGTCAGCATTAAATAGCCCTTTGAGGTTGATATGTTATAAAACAAAATAAGCCATAAACCAGCTTAATTATGCTAACTTAATTGTATGGGTTTCCAATTCTTTCCATTTGACCTCAGCTTTGGCCCTTTGACTAGTTCATTCTAAGACATTAAATGTTTTCCTTTAAATTGTTATGCCCTGCAGTGGTAGGATTTAGCTCACTCTCAAATCTCTGTAAGACTTTTCTCAAAACCTTCCGTATTTAACATCATACCTCCAATTTAACTTTCCCAATTCTTAGTTCCAGCAGCAAAGTCTGGTCAGAAGATTGAATGTTTTGAAGAGCATGGAACCAACTCTTAATTGCTGTCATTCCCAGGTATGCCCTGACCTAGAGTGGTAGTACTTGTTAGGGTCCTAGCCAAAAACAAAACTCTATGAAAATATAAAAATACATTATTATAGTAAAAATACCAGCAATACATTTTTAGTAAAATTATGAACAATATATATTTATAGTAAAATTATCAACATTTTTAAAGCAAAATGACTAGCAATACATTTTATCTGTAGTGGAAGGCATAAAATTGTGTTCAAAATATTTAGGTTTTGGCATTAAATAACCCATAGAGATTGATATGCCGCTAAACAAAATCAACCAACCAAGCAGTGTGCAAAAGTCATATCCTCTGGGTTCAGTAGAAGAAAATGTCAAGTGACACAAAATCCAGAATAAATTGGAGAGTATTAACTGATGCAAGATATCCCCTAACCCTGAAAAGTAAAATAAAAACAATCTACTTTTGTGGATTGAACAAAGGGTTCAGTTCAAAATTCTAAAAAGGTTACTAAATAGAACGTACATCTGGAGAAGACTGATGGGTACAATGACTAAAACATTGTGAGTATAACAACCAAGATGAGTTCAAACGTAAAGGCATATAAGAATAATTCCTTATCTCAAAAATTCCAAAACATTAACTTTCTTCTGTGACGGGGCCGCGGCCTGCTGTCTTTGGTCAGGATCAATCCTGGTATTGGAGAACAAGATGTCAGCCCACACTCGTCGGTCGTTGGTGGCGTTCGACACTGCAGCTTGACTTCTTCAACTATAACCTCTCTTACCCACGTTGTGGTTTTTGATCTTAAAAGGGTCAAGCTGAATTATCACTGGGATATCTCAACTAAGCTAAACCAAGGAGTTGAATACACACACAAAATTGAAAATAAAACAACCAATGTTCGAATAAGTCACTAGATAATACTTTTATCAACATAAAAAAATATTTACAGTTCTTTTTTTCCTTTTCTTTCTTTTCCCAACCTGTTTCTAATATTTAGCAACGGAATGAAAATTTCGGCTAACTCCCCTAAGGATGACCAGACTTGACAGCTGGATTTCTTCAAGTACTGTTCATTGTACTTTCAAGGATGGCGCAAGGATATCGTCAGAGTTTTTTTTCAGCGGATTATTATTATTACCATTAGGTTGGCAAAACAGCGTAATGGCAAAAATCTCTTAACTTCCCGTCCACATAACTCACTGCAACTCTGGACCGCAACTCCAACTACTTTAGTCCGCGTGGGCACTTGTATTTATGGGTGTCAATTTTGGAAGATCC